CTCACAGCAATCTGAGCCCCCAACTTTTTCATTTTCCAGCTCTCATGCACCAGCCGAGAGCCTGAGGACTGCAGCAGGAGCTTTGTTCAAATCCCAGCCCTGTCAGTTACCAGCTGTGTGATATTGGGCAAGTCACTCTCTGGGCCTCAGTTTTCTCATCTGTCAAGTGGAGGAACACAAGTTCCCACTCCATTTTGAGAGCTCCCATGTGAAGAGACGACAGAGCAAGCCTGCCTTGTCAACAAACACCACCTCCACCACAATAGTGACAACGGCATTGCATAAGAGCCCTAGACTTACATACACACATGACTGTGCCTCTGGATTCCTCCCAGGTCTCCCATGGCCGATTCCTCTCTGCCTCGAACTCACATAAACTTGGATCTCACAACCTTCCCCATTTCTGCCCCCGTGGCCACATGCTTTGGCCCCTGAGTCCTCACCTGGCTGGGGCGCTCAAGGCTCCAGCCAGCCTCGGCCCGGCCCCATGGTGCCCCTTCCTAAAGCTCTGCCCGTCTTTCCCCTGATACGCCCCGCCCGCCCCAGCTCATGCCTGCTTGTACCGCCTGCGCCAGAGTGGTGAGCCCGGTCTGGCCAGTGGCGCCGAAGATCGCGATCTTCTTGACAGCCATCCTGCGGGGTCGTGGGGGTGCAAGGCCTCAGAGTCTCGGCACGCGCGGGAACCCACTGGATGCTGGGCGGCGCTCTCTGCCCTACTCATGCAGGAACAACGGGGCGGAGCTGGCTCTCAGGGCCACTCCTCAGCCCCGCTCCGCCCGCGGCTGAGGTCGAGGGGCGGAGCCTAACGCGGGTGGGCGGGATAGGAGTCAGCTTGCATTCGATCATTGCCCAGCAGCGCCCTCTCTGCCCGCCACTTAGACTGGGAGGCGGGGCCACAGAAGGCCACGCCCGCACGTGCCCACAAATAGAGTGGGCGGAGCCGGGATAACGTCGCACAGCGCCCTGCCTCCGCGCTCTACCTGCTAGGAGGGGCGGGGCCAGGCGAGTCACGCCTACGGGCTCTCGTAGCTCCCGCCCCTTCTCCCAGCTCCAGGAGGGATCTGGGGCGCACGCTAAGCCCCAGGGCCTCTCAGAACCAGCAAGGGGAGAAAGTGAGGGAGGACCGAGTGCGTGTGTGCACTTGCATGTAAGACACTGTGTCACTGCGTATCTATGCACTTATATGACCCTGTGTGAGTCTCAGTTACTAGGAGGGCACGCACGACTGTGGCAATACCTCGTGTCATCCTCCGTGTGTGATCCTGTGTTACAGTGTGACTACATGTGCGTGACACCACGTGTGGCAGGCATTGATTCTGTTCTTTTGTGACCTTGTGGTGACACGGTGGGTGACACTGTGTCAGCCTGTGCGGTAGGATGTGGGACGTGTGAGGTGTATTACATGGAAGCGTGCGACTATTAGACCGTGACAGTGTGTGACACCACATGTCTCATGTGAGGATGTGTGACACCGGGGCCTCATTCCTGTGTGTGGCTGTGGGTGTCTCTGTTGTGCTGCTGTTTGCGACCCCCTGGAACTATGATGTGTGTGGTGCGGCGGTGCAGGTTCGAGTGTGTAGAGTGTGTGACACTGTGGCTGTGACACTGGGCGCGATTTGTGGGCCTATGACACTGCTGGTGATTGCCGGGGAGTGTGCGGCTGTGTGTGACAGGTGCGTTTGTGTGTGACGCCGCGTGGGCGGTGGTGACTACTGGAGTGTGTGGTGGTGGGTGACACTGTTCCAGTGTGGACGCCGCGTGTGACAGCGTGAGGGTGTGACCCCGTGGGACCCCACAGGAGGGAGTGACGGCGCGCGAGCGCGTGGATGCGGGGGTGAGTTTCTGCGCCGAGGCCCCCGCGAGTGTGGCAGCGTGGCGAGCGTGACCCCGTGGGAGTGTGCAGCGCGTGACGCCGCCGTGCCCGTGCAGCCGTGCACCCCACGCCGCGGCCGGGTGTGACTGCGCGTGGGCCTCGGGCGGCTGGGCGCGGGGACAGCGGGCAGGAGGGGGTCCCGGGGGCGCGCGGAGCGCGGCGGCGGCGCGAGCGAGGGAGGCGCGGCGGCGCATGCGGATCTGGCCGAGCCGCGGGCCGGCAGGGCCGAGCTGAGCCGGGCTGGGCCGGGCCGCGGACGCCTACAGGGAGGGCGGTCGGGCGCGGCGAGCAGCGGGGACAGCGGCGCCAGCGGCCGCCGGCCCAGGTGAGCGGAGAGGGGGCCAACAGCCCCTCCCCCAGCATGTCCCCACCTGCCGAGCATCCCTCCTCCGCGCGCGCCGGGCATGGCCGGAGCCCCGGGTCTCCTCGGCTGGAGGGAGGCAGAGGGTCGAGGGCAGGACGAGGCCCCAACCCCCACCCGGCCCAGCCTCCGCGCCACGCGTGGGTCTTACCCTCAGCCCTTGTCCTTCCCAGGCCCCCTCCTTGGGCGCGGTGTCTGGACCTCAGGGCGAGGCGAGGCCTGGGAAGGGTTAAAGCCTCTGGTGCCACCGCAACCCAGAGCCCCCCCAGCCTTTGTAGGGGGCCTCCTCACAGGATAACCCTTCCCGGCTCTCCCCCACTACCTGCTTTCTTCCTTCCCATTCAATCACGTAATGGCCAGAGCTGATCCTCGGCCTGGCAGAGCGCTCAGGAGTGCTAAGGGCCTCCCATCCCTAAGTGTCCTCCACTGAAGAAAATAGTTGTAACCACCGTTTAACAGGGAGAGAAACTGAGGCACAGAGAGGCCAAGTTAAAGATACTCGGTTAAAGATACAGCAAGAATAAAGCGGGACCTGAACTCATTTCTATCTCACTCCAGATCAGGCACATGGATTTGCTGAGATATGTGAGGGAAAGATGATGATAGCAAGCAACATGGATCCAGGGCTTGCGGTGTACCATGATCCTTGCATTATTAACTTATTTCTTCTTCAAACACCACTAAGAAATGGGTATGATTATCATTAACTCTTTTTTTTTTTTTTTTTTTGAGACCGAGTTTCCCTCTAGTTGCCCAAGCTGGAGTGCAATGATGCGATCTCGGCTCACTGCAACCTCTGCCTCCTGGTTTCAAGCAATTCTCCTGCCTCAGTCTCCCAAGTAGCTGAGATTACAAGCATGAGCCACCATATCTGGCTAATTTGGATTTTTAGTGAAGACAGGGTTTCACTATGTTGGTGAAGCTGGTCTCCAACTACTGACCTCAGATGATCCACCCACCTCCTCGGCCTCCCAAAGTGCTGGGTTTACAGGCGTGAGCCACCACCCAGCCTACCTTTCTTTCTTTCTTTTTTTTTTTGAGAGGGCATCTCACTCTTGTTGCCCTCTGGGCTGGAGTGCAATGGCACCCTCTCGGCTCATTGCAACCTCCGCCTCCTGGGTTTAAGCAATTCTCCTGCCTCAGCCTCCCTAGTAGCTGGGATTACCCGTGCCTACCACCACACCTGGCTAATTTTTGTATTTTTAGTAGAGATTCATTTTCACCATCTTGGCCAGGCTGGTCTCAAACTCCTGACCTTGGGTGAACCGCTCATCTTCACCTCCCAAAGTGCTGGGATTACAGGTGTGAACCAACATGCCTGGCTTACCCTTTTCTTTTTCTTTTTTTTTTTGGTGACAGAGTCTTACTTGGTCATTCAGGCTGGAGTGCAGTGGCCCAATCTCGGTTAATTGCAACCTCCACCCTCCAGGTTCAAGCGATTTTCCTGCTTCAGCCTCCCGAGTTGCTGGGACTACAGACACACACCACCAGGCCTGGCTAATTTTTGTATTTTTTTTAGTAGAGATGGTTTTTCGCCATGTTGGCCAGGCTGGTCTCTAATTCCTGGCCTCCAGTGATCCACCTGCCTTGGCCTCCCAAAGTGCTGAGATTACTGGCATGAGCCACCGTGCTGGGACATCATTACTATTTTGCAGATGAAAAAGAGTGGAAGTGGCCCATCCAAGGTCACACAGGTGATAGTCAGCTGGGTGCTCACTTTCACTTTTCCATGGAAGGAGGGAAGAACAAAAATGGATTTGGGACTGAGCACAGTGGCTCACACCTGTAATCCTAGCACGTTGGGAGATTGAGGTGAACAGATAGCTTGAGCCCAGAGGTTCGAGACCTGCCTGAGCAACACAGCGAGACCCCATCTCTACAAAAAAATACAAAAATTAGCTGCGTATGGTGGAGCTTACCTCTAGTCCCAGCTACTCAGAAGGCTGAGGTGGGAGAATTGCTTGAGCACAGGAGTTGGAGGCTGCAGGGAGCTATGATCGTGTCACTGCTCTCCAGCCTGGGTGATAGAGCAATACCTTGTCTCAGGGGGAAAAAAAAAAGGATTTTAGTGTGTCCCCCTAAGGGACAAATTCCACTCTACTCACTTTACTGACCAAGACCCAGACCCTGCCTTCCTAGAATTCAGTGGGTTGGCAATTATCTGGGTCTTTCAAGGACACGGATCTCCTGACTTCCTCCTTTGCTGGGATTAGAACCAGGCCTGGGGGCCCAGAAGGTAGAGGAGATACATCTAATGTCACTCACCCCTTAAAATTTCGTCATTTTCAAAATTATTTTTTATTTATTTTTACTTTATTTATTTTAGATAGAGTTTTGCTCTTGTTGCCCAGGCTGTAGTGCAATGGCGTGATCTCGGCTCACCTCCGCCTCCCGGGTTTAAGCAATTCTCCTGCCTCAGTCTCCCAAGTAGCTGGGATTATAGGCATGCACCACCACACCCAGCCATTATTTTTATCATTTATTTATTTATTTATTTGAGACGGAGTTTCGCTGTTGTTACCCAGACCGGAGTGCAATGGCACGATCTCGGCTCACCACAACCTCCGCCTTCCGGGTTCAAGTGATTCTCCTGCCTCAGCCTCCCTTGTAGCTGGGATTACAGGCATGCACCACCATGCCCAGCTAATTTTTGTATTTTTAGTAGAGATAGAGTTTCACCATGTTGCTCAGGCTGGTCTCAAACTCCTGACCTCAAGTGATCAGCCCAACTCGGCTGCCCAAGTTGCTGGTATTACAGGCGTGAGCCACTGTGCCTGCCCCCAACTGTAAGTTTATTTCTTCTTCTTTTTTTTATTTTTTATTTTTCTTTTATTTCCCTTTAAATGGACAATATAGGCAGTGATCATATAGTGGTTAGCAGTTTGCGTTGTGCCCACAGCAACTTCGGTTCAAATCTGAGTCACGGCACCAAAAAATAAACGTTAAAAAAAATGGACAATATAGCAGTGTTCGAGAGCATAGCTTTGGGGTCAGGCAATATGTCAGTTAGCTATTGCCACAATAATGCTTTATACAAAGCCCACCCCAAACTCAGTGTCTTTTTTTTCCCCTTTAAGATGGAGTTTTACGCTGTTGCCAAGGCTGGAGTGCAATGGCCTGATCTTGGGTCACTGCAGCCTCCGCCTCCCAGGTTCAAGCCATTCTCCTGTCTCAGCCTCCCAAGTAGCTGGGATTACAGGTGCCTGACACCATACCCGGCTGAATCACTGGAGGCCAAGAGTCTGAGACCAGCCTAACCAATGCAGTGAAACCCTATCTCTACAAAAAATGCAAGTTAGCTGGGCATGGTGCCACGTGCCTGTAGTCCCAGCTATTCGGGAGGTTGAGGCACGAGAATCGCTTGAACTTGGGTGGCAGGGGTTGCAGTGAGCAAAGATTGCACCATTGCACTCCAGCCTGGGTGACAGAGCAAGACTGTCTCAAAAAAAAAACATGAAACACAAAACACAGAACTTTTACTTAGCTGTTGAGTCTGAGCTCAGCAATTTAGGTTGGACTCAGCTGGGCCATTCTTCTGGTCTCTGCTGGGGTCAGAGTTGAGGGTGGTGTTGGCAACCTTAGGTGGCCTTGGTTAGAATGACTAGGGCCTTGCACATAGTCTGGCCCAGGTGTGTTTTTCTCATGGCAACAGTAGAGTAGAAACATGCCAAGTCTCCTGAGTCCTAGGCTCAGAACTGGCACAGCAGCACCTCTACCTAATTCTGCTGGCCAAAGCAAATCATATGGCTGGAGTCGATGGGTAGGGCATGCACCCGCTCTATCCTACCGTAGCAGTAGGGGGACACTGAAGAGAGTTACATAGCAAAGGGTGTGTCTACAAGGGTGAAGGATTACGGCCATCAATGCAAACATTCTATCACCTAGATTTTTATTGTTTTTTCGAGACGGAGTCTTGCTCTGTCGCCCAGGCTGTAGTGCATCGGCATGATCTTGGCTCACTGCAGCCTCCGCATCCCGGATTCAAGTGATTCTCTTGCCTCAGCCTCCTGAGTACCTGGGATTACAGGTGCACACCACCACACTCAGCTAATTTTTTTTTTTTTTTTTTGAGACAGTGTCTTGCTCTCTCGCCAGGCTGGAGCACAGTGGCGCAATCCCGGCTCACTGCAACTTCCATTTTCCAGTTTCAAGCGATTCTCCTGCCTCAGCCTCCCAAGTAGCTGGGCCTACAGGCACACACCACCACGCCTGGCTAATTTTTTTGTATTTTTAGTAACGACGGGGTTTCACCATGTTGGCCAGGATGATCTGGATCTCTTGACCTCATGATCTGCCTGCCTCAGCCTCCCAAAGTGCTGGGATTACAGGCGTGAGCCACCGTGCCCAGCCATATGACCTATGTTTAAATCCTAGCTACTTACTAGCTGTGTAACCTTGGAAAAGTAGGTCAACTCCTCTGTGCCTCAGTTTCCTCCTCTGTAAAATAGGTGTAATAATGGCCAGCTGTTAGGGAAATAATAAGAGAATGTAGATGAAGTACAGTGCAAGTGTTCAGTATCTGTTTATTATTGTCATTACTGCGTTATGGAACTCTATTGTTCTAATAATAACAGTGACAATTTGCTGAGCCCTTAATACGTGCCAGGGGCTAAGCCATGTGTTTTACCACATCCTGTGAAGTGGTGAGAGTGAATATTATTATTATTATTAAGAAATAGGTCTCAAAAAACAAAAACAAATAAATAAATAAATAAAGGCCGGGTGTGGTGGCTTACACCTGTAATCCCAGCACTTTGGGAGGCTGAGGTGGGCGGATCACCTGAGGTCAGGAGTTGGAGACCAGCCTGGCCAACATGGTGACACCCCATCTCTAAAAAAATTAAAAAAAAAAAAAGAAATGGGTCTCACTATATTGCCCAGTTTGGAGTGCAGTGGTGCTATCACAGATCACTGTAGCTTTGACTTCTTGGCTCAAGCCATCCTCATGACTCAGCCTCCTTTTTTTTTTCTTTTTTTTAAAGATGGGGTTTCACCATGTTGGTCAGGCAGGTCTTGAACTCCCGACCTCAGGTGATCCGCCTCCCTTGGCCTCCAAAGTGCTTGGATTACAGGCATGAGCCACCACGCCCGGCCGCCTCAGCCACCTAAGCAGCTGGGACTATGGGTGGCAGCCACCACACTCAGCTAACTTTTTTGTTTTTTTATTTTCTATTTTATTTATTTATTTATTTTTAAAGATGGAGTTTCACCAGGATGGCCAGGCTGGTCTTGAACTCCTGACCTCAGGTCATCCACTCACCTCGGCCTCCCAAAGTGCTGGGATTATAGGTGTGAGCCACAACGCCTGACTAATTTTTGTATTTTTTGTAGAGACAGGGTTTCACCATGTTGCCTGGGCTTGTCTCGACGTCCTGGGCTCAAGCAATCCACCCTTTTCAACCTCCCAAAATGTTGGAATTACAGGCCTGAACTACTGCGCCTGGCTTATTTTTATTTTTGTAGAGATGAAATCTCGCTATTTTACCCAGGCTGGTCTCTAACCGCTGGGCTCAAGCTATTCTCCTGCCACTGCCTCCCAAAGTGCTGGGATTACAGGCATGAGCCACTGTGCCGAGGCTTTATCATTATTATTATGTCCACTTTAAAGACAGAGAAATTGAGGACAAGAGAGGGGACAGGACTCAAAGCCAGTCACTGTTAGAAATGGGACTTGATCCTAGACCTAACCCACCTCTCCCCATGTTCAGGCCTCACTTTCCCCGATGGCGCAGGAACCAGGGGAGGTGGACAACATGGAGGGCCTGCCTGCCCCTAACAACAACAACCCTGCCGCCCGCTGGGAGAGTCCGGATCGGGGCTGGGAGCGGGAGCAGCTGGCCGCCTCCACCGCGGCCGCCTCGCTCTTTGAGTGCTCCCGGATCAAGGCCTTGGCAGGTACCTGGAGGAGGGCTGGGGTGGGATGAGGAGGAGGGGGAAGGGGGAAAGGTACCTGAGAACCTTGGTGGCTGGGTGGGTGGGACGAGAGACCAACCCTGTCCGATAGAACTTTCCATGGCGGCGGAAATAGTCTATATCCGTGATGTCCAATATGATAATCACTAGTCTCTGTGGCATTTGAGCACTTGAAATGTTGTTAGTGCTGCGTGACAGTCTGAGTTTTAAATTTTGTTTGGTTTTAACCGAATTTTTATAATTTTCGGGACAGAGTCTTGCTCTGTTGCCCAGGCTGGGGTGCCGTGGTGCAGTCTTGGTTCACTGCAATCTCCACCTCACCGCTCAAGCCATCTTCCCACCTCAGCCTCCCGAATAGCTGGGACTACAGGTGCGCACCACCACACCCAGCTAATTTTCTTCTTGTATTTTTAGTAGAGACAGGGCTTCACTATGTTTGCCAGGCTGGTCTCAAACTTCTGACCTTAAGTGATCCATCTGCCTTGGCCTCCCAAAGTGCTGGGATTTCAGGCGTGAGCCACTGCATCGGCCCAATCTTAATTAAATTTAAATAGCCACATATGGCTTGTGACTGCTGTGTGGGGGCAGTGGAGCCTTAGAAACTTAGAAAGGTACAGTCCCAGAGTGGTGGGACTTTGTAAGCATATTCCCTTAGAATCCCGAAATGCAAAAAAAAGAAAAAAAAAAAGAAAGGAAAAAAAGCGGGGGGGCTTGAGGTCTGAGAAAAAAAAAAAAAAAAAAAAGAATCCCGAAATGCACAGCCATCAGATCCTAGGACCTTGAAATGTGGTACTCAGAGATTCTTAGACCTTTCGAAATGAAGACCTTTGGCCGGGCACAGTGGCTCACACCTGTAATCCCAGCACTTTGAGAGGCAGAGATGGACCGATCGCTTGAGCTCAAGAGTTTGAGACCAGCTTGGCCAACATAGTGAAACCCTGTCTCTACTAAAAATACAAAAAAACTTAGCCGGCTGTGGTGGCATGCATCTGTAGTCCCAGCTATTCAGGAGGCTAAGGCAGGAGAATCACTTGAACCCAGGAGATGGAGGTTACAGTGAACTGAGATCCCACCATTGCACTCCAGCCTAAGCGACAAGAGCGAAACTCCATTTCAAAAAACATTTTTTTTTGGTAAGATGGGGTCTTGTTATGTTGCCCAGACTAGTCTGGAACTCCTGGACTCAAACAATCCTCCCACCTCAGTCTCTCAAAGTGGTTTGATTACAGGGGTGAGCCACAGGGCCTAGAAGTCACCCTATTGTGACGTATCAGAACAATATTAGCAAAGATCAGAGAACTTTATAGTCACAGAAAGACCTCAGACCTTCAGAATTGTAGACCCTTGAACCTTAGTACTTAGTATTCAAAGGGGTTGAAACCTTAGAAGTGTTAAATCATCAGCATTAAAACTGACAGAGACCCTGAGGAGCCTCAGATATATGTAACTACATAATCATAAGCCTTTAAAACATGACACCCCAGCACCTTTACCCTTCGGACCTTAACATCTTAGAAACACGGAGTGCTAGAATCATAAAATATAGATGATCATAATCATGAATTCTTAAAACCAAAGATCAGAATCAGTTCTCTCAAAATTTTAAAACTTTAGTAACTCAGCAGTTTATAATCACAGGATCTCTGATACTAAGATTTTTGGAACTTTATTTTTTAATTAAAAAAAATTTTTTTTTGAGATGGAGTCTCACTCTGTCACCCAGGCTGGAGTGCAGTGGCTCAGTGTTGGCTCACTGAAACCTCTGCCTCTCAAGTTCAAGTGATTCTCTTGCCCCGTATCACCACGTCTGGCTGAATTTTGTATTTTTAGTACAGACAGAGTCTTGAACTCCTGACCTCGTGATCCGCCCACCTCAGTCTCCCAAAGTGCTAGGATTATAGGCGTGAGCCGCCACTCCCAGCCTTTTTGGAACTTTATAAGATACTAAGCAGAGGTGTCCAACTCCAAGGCTTCTGGGGAAGCAAGTGACACAAAAAACTGAGTGGACTGGGGACCGTGGTCAACTGGAGAGCGGTCACCAGCTCCAGCCATCAGGAAACATAGGTCCAAAGTTACTAGCTCTGACGTTTGTCGGGAATTTCTCAATTAAAACAAATCTGGGGCTGGGCACGATGGCTCACATCTGTAATCCCAGCACTTTGAGAGACCAAAGTGGGCAGATCGCTTGAGCCCAGGAGTTTGAGATCAGCCTGGCCAACATGGTGAAACCCTGTCTCTACTAAAAATATAAAAATTAACCAGGTGTGGTGGTGCACACCTGTAGTCCCAGCTATTTGAGAGGCTGAGGTGGGAGGATCTCCTGAACCCAGGAAGTGGAGGTTGCAGTGAGTGGAGATCGCACCACTGCACTCCAGCCTGGGCAACAGAATGAGACCCTGTCTCAAAAAAATAAGAAATCTGGCTGGACACAGTGGCTCACCTCTGTTATCCCAGCACTTTAATAGGCTGAGGCAAGCAGATCACCAGAGGTCTGGAGTTTGAGACCAGCCTGGTCAGCATGGCAAAACCCCCTCTCTATTAAAAATACAAAAATTAGCCGGGCATGGTGGCATGTGCCTGTAATCTCAGCTACTCAGGAGGCTGAGGCAGGAGAATGGCTTGAACCCATGAGGTAGAGGCTGCAGTGAGCCGAGATGGTGCCATTGTACTCCAGCTTGGTCAACAAGAGCAAAACTCCATCTCGAGAAAAAAAAAAAGAGAGAAATCTGTATGTGCCACAAAGTATGAACCAGATTCAACTGATGGATTGCCAGCTTCGTGTGATCTGGAAACCTAGACTGATGAAAACATACACTCGTGGAAACTTACAATCATACTTTCAGAGTCTTAGAATCTTAAAAAGGTAGAAACATATCAAATGAGAATTCTAGAATTTACTACTTTAGTGTGAGTTTCTTTTTGGTTTGTGTTTGTTTTTTTGGAGGAGGGGGTCTTTCCATGTTGTCCAGACAGGTCTGGAACTCCTGGTCTCAACTCAGCCTTCTGACTAGCTGGGATTACAGACGTGTACCACCACTCCCAGCTTTAGAATTTTTTTTTTTTTTTTAAGATGGGGTTTCACCATGATGGCCAGGCTGGTCTTGACCTCAGGTGATCCACCCACCTCAGCCTCTCAAAGTGTTAGGATTACAGGCGTGAGCCACCGTGCCTGGCCAAATTTTTTATTATTATTATAATTTAGACTGCTGCCCAGGCTGGAGTGTGGTGATACAATCACAGCTCGTGGAAACATAGGCCCAAAGTTACTAGCTCTGACGTTTGTCAGGAATTTCTCAATTAAAACAAATCTGGGGCCGGGCACGATTGCTCAACTTCTGGGCTTGAGCGATCCTCCCACCTTAGCCTCTAGAGTAGCTGAGACTATAGGCATGTGCCACCATGCCTAGCTGATTTTCTTATTTTTATTATTTTTATAGAGACAGGGTCTTGCTATGTTGCCCAGACTGACTGTGAACTCCTGGACTCAAGTGACACTCCCTCCTTGGCCTCCCAAAGTGCTAGGATTACAGGCGTGAGCCACCATGCCTGGCCTATATAGTTTTCTTAATCTGTCACCTGGGCTGGAGTGCAGTGGTGTGATGATGGCTCACTGCATCCTCGACCTACTAGGTCACCTGTAATCCAGACCTACCAGGTCACCTGTATTCCATCCTAGCACTGTAGGAGGCTGAGACAGGAGCATCAGTTGAGCCCAGGAGTTTGAAACCAACCTGGGCAACATTGTGAGACCCTGTCTCTAACCATTTTTTCAACATTAAAGAAAATTGCAAGCCGGGCGCAGTGGCTCACGCCTGTAATCCCAGCACTTTGGGAGATGGAGGCGGATGGATCACGAGGTCAGAAGTTCGAGATCAGTCTGGCCAACATAGTGAAACCCCCCCCTCTACTAATACCACAAAAAAATACAAAAAATTAGTCAGGTGCGGTGGCGTATGCCTGTAATCCCAGATACTAGGGAGGCTGAGGCAGGAGAATCTCATGAACCCAGGAGGAGGAGGTTGCGGTGAGCTGAGATCGTGCCATTGCACTCCAGCCCGGGTGACAGAGTGAGACTCTGTCTCTCTTTTTTTTTGTTTTCCCTACCTCCCTCACTCGAGGTAGGGACTTTTTTTGTCTCAAAAAAAAAAAAAAGAAAGAAGGAAGAAAGAAAGAAGAAAGAAAGACAGGAAGAAAGAAAGAAAGAAAGAAAGAAAGAAAGAAAGAAAGAAAGAAAGAAAGAAAGAAAGAAAGAAAGAAGGGAAAAAAAGAAAGAAAGAAAATTGTTTGGACCCATATTCAATGTGTTCTCCTAGTCACCCTCCACAGTTTGTGGCTCGCAGCTGCCATTGATCTGTGTGAGGTCTTTCTCCTCATATATGTTAATTCTCTTTTATTCCCAAATCTCAAATCAATTTGGTCTCCCCTGCAGGCAACCATTGAGATTGTTTTGTTTCGTTTTCTTTTTGGAGACAGAGTCTGGATCTTTCTCCAGGCACCAGGCTGGAGTGCAGTGGGTGCGATCTCAGCTCACTGCAACCTCTACCTTCTGGGTTCAAGCGATTCTCCTGCCTCAGCCTCCCATGTAACTGGGACTAAAGGCATGTGCCACCACGCCCAGCTAATTTTTGTATTTTAATAGAGATGTGATTTCACTGTGTTGGCCAGGATGGTCTCGATTTCTTGACCTCGTGATCTGCCCGCCTCGACCTCCCAAAGTGCTGGGATTACTGCGCCCGGCCTTGTTTTTGTTTTGTTTTTTAAATAGAGTCAGGGTCTTGCTCTGTTGACCAGGATGGTCTTGAACTCCTGGATGGACCCAAGCAATCCTCCCACCTCAACCTTCCTGTTGGGAGGCCACCACTTCTGACTCCATTCAGATAGTTTTTTTTTTTTTTTTAATTTAAATAAAGATGGCGTTTCCCTATGATGGCCAGGCTGGTCTTGAACTCCTGACCTCAGATGATCCACCCACCTTGGCCTCC